CCCCAACCCCCCCATATTTTTGACCCCTCCCCAGAACCCCCCGCCCAAAACGGGGGTGCGCATCACATAGACCCCCCCAACAACTTGAAATTCGCGATCTGGGGGGGGGGTTACATTTTTTCCTAGGATCTCCAATGTACGGGGGCCAGCAGTTACTTGGCCAGTGACAGGGGGTGCGCGTCACATTTCACAACACCCACCCCAACCCCAACCCCAACCCCAAACCCCAACCCCCAACCTTATAACCCACAACCCACAACCCCCAACCCACAAACCCAGCCCACGACCACCGACCCCCAACCCACAACCAACAACCCCCAACCCACAACCCACAACCCCCAACCCCCAACTCCCCTTCTACTCGAAGTGGGAGCTATCTCAGTAGGTTCAGGTGTAGGAATGTTAGGCACAGGGCGTAGGGTTCGAGTCCACTTAAACGTTGAAGCTAGTTCCTTTTTGCAAGGAGCTCCTCTACACCTTCACCCGGGCTCGATCGGCCGGGGTTCGATCCCATGTCCTAGATATTAGAAGTTAGTAGTTAGTTGGGGCATAGATTCAGTTGTGCTCGTGCACGACAAGTGGCACGAGCAGTGCATTAGTTACTTAGTATTTAGTTGTTTTTCTTTTATTTATTTCGTTTTTATTAGATTCTTATTTTTATTTCTTTTCTTTTTCTTTTTACTCTTTTTTTTTTGCCTATTACGATTTCGAGCCTCATACAGTAGATTCGTGTTGACGAATGTGCACCTAAATCGCGGAGGGATTCAGCCCAGGCACTTGCCTGTACATCGCGACATGGGCATAACCAAGTCGCGAGCAACCTGCTGGGAAGCCGCGCATGACCGGCGGGAAGGAGCGACTCGACCAAGAAGTCGAAGGCGGGAGCAGAGGGAATAGGGGGCGCGCGAAGGAGGGGAGAGGAGCGCGGGGAGAAGAATGAGAGGAGCGGGTGAAAAAGGAGAAGAGGGCGTGCGAAAGAGAAGAAGAAGAGCGCGGCCTGGAGGAGAGAGGAACGAGGCGAGCGGGAAGAAGAAGAAGTAGAAGAAGAAGAAGAAGAAGAAGAAGATAAAGAAGAAGAAGAAGAAGAAGAAGGAGGAAGAGGAAGAAGAAGAAGGAAGAAGAAGAAGAAGAAGAAGAAGAAGAAGAAGAAGAAGAAGAAGAAGAGGAGGAGAGGGCGAAGGAGGAAGACGAAGGAGAAGAAGAAAAGGAAGGGGGAGCTCAAGAGGGAGATGGTAAGTGCGGGCGAAAAGAGGCCGCGGACGTGAGGCGAATGGAAGGAGCGAGAAGAGAACGATTGCGGAGTAGGTAGAAAGAACTGCGCAGAGCTATAGACCGAGTGACAGAAAGGGCGTGCGGGA